CTTGCGGTGGCCGGCCAATGTACAAGTCAGTGCTTTTATCCTCCCAGACGAGTCTGGTACCGATTGACGGACCTCTGAGGGATGGAAGGCTTGGTTTGGCCTAGGCGGGCATCGATCCGGGATTCGAGCCCCGAGGGTACGTGTGATATAGTGCGCCAATTGCCACTACACCACCTCCGCCCTAACGCCAAGATCGGGTTAAGAAAAAGGGATAAAGAGCTTCACACCGGGACTCACGACTACGGACTGGAATGAGAACCGCTATCCCGAGAGCTTCCACTCGCCATGGATTTTAAACCCCTGGTAGTCAGTTCCGTTATAAAATTGATCACATCATCTTAGAACGAAGAATTTGCCCAACTGATGTCCCTTTTATTTCCATTTCTCTCGTGAATCGGACCATCGTCTAATCCTTATTCGATTATGTATTTCAAACTGTTGAAAGAGGTGCAAAGTTCAGGAAACGAAGCTACCAAACTGCCATGAATTGGGAACGCTCCGCTTCCCAGAGGCAGGCAGAGCCGGCAGGTCCTCATTGCAACGATCACATCCACATTAATATAAGGCTTATAAATAGACGATAGTACGGAATGCCGCTATGTCTTACATTTCTCAATTTGATGAAGGCTTTCGATACCGACGAGACGAGGGCCAGGCAGTAGTTGTAGTCCTGGGGAACCACTGTTCCCTACTCACTACTTAATGCGGAAGGATCTTCGTGAGCTCTATAACACTTCGCACCGAGACTCCGCCTTTCTACAAGAAACTTGTTGTCAACATGAAAGGCGGGGTTTGGTAGGGTGATACCATTCAGTTGCCAGTAGCGCCTATGATTTAAGGATTCTATCTGCTTCAGCACATATGTTTACCAAAGCGTCCTCCATGTTGTGGGTGTTTCTTCCACGAGTGGCAAACGTCGTTATTTCTGCTAGAGGAAGTCAAACGTTCGTTGGATGTTGTAAATCATTTCAGTATGTGCTTAGGCTTTTAAAGACGGCGATTACGTCAATACTTTAGTATAATGTCAATACTTTATAATCAGCTCCACCTTGAAACTTCGGAAGCAAAAAAATAAACCTATTTTCCTTAACAACTGTCGCACTGAGAAGCCAGGAACCCAAATAATTTCAAGTACTCATTCAAAACCAGTCGGGCCGCCCGGCTAACGCCGGGCTTCCCTCTATCTAATGGGTTCGCCCGGCTACGTCGGTCGTTCCTCCTTCGTGTGATAAATTTACCATGCGTAAATAACACTTCAGATTCTCCTTTTTTTTGGAAGCTCTACACCCTCAGTATCAGTTCCGAATCAGGAGCGATTTTTTCTGTGAGCCATCTTCGCTGTGTCAGAATAGAACATCGCATAATATTACAAAGGCGATTACTCAGAGAAAAAAGTNTTAAAAGACTTCATCGCGGCTGAGTCTACAGTGTTATCTACCGTCAATGTTCCCAGGAGCCAGCCAACTCTTGTGCCTTCAAGTTTCAACGTTCTGGGTCCGAACTAACAGTATTCATACACGCCCAGCCCTTTGGGGAGGAGTTTAGTCTTGCAACTTATCATCAGTGTTCCTATTCTGCCTCCTGTATTCCTACCAAGTTTGGTCGCTCTTGGTCCATTTTGACATTTCTCTACAAGCCCCGCAAGCTGAAGGAGTTATGATTTTCCGCGCAAACCCCACCCATTGTAGGCAGAATGCGATCCAGTCACTGACCATAAACGTTCCCATCCTGCCGCCTGTGCTCATGCCTTATTTGAACATTCTTCTAGGTGCACAGAGACAGGAGTTATAAATTTCTGCCCTAACCCCCCCCCCCCATTGTGGACGGAGCTCAATCCTGCTACCCATTGTAAGCGTTCCCATCCTACCTTTGATACTCCTACCAAATTTGAACTCTCTAGGTCGATGGGAACCCGAGTTATGAACTTACGGTCAAACACACACATACACACAGAGAGAGAGAGACAGACAGACAAACCAACAGACACACTTAGTGCGTTACATATAGTAGGATATAGGGAAAGCAATGCTTTGGACGTCCCTCAGGCCGTTTTCCGGATGAGCCAAGGCTCAGGCTGGTCTTACAAACGCGTAGGGCATGGATCTACCATTTAAGGCGAGCTTCGAACACTTAATCAGCAACAGGGCTGCTCCGACACACCCCTTTATTGCGTCACTGCGGATAAGGTTTGAGAGCGCGACCTCACAGTAACACTTTCACTTCATCACTCCAAGACGTGATTCGATTTTTTTCACCATAGGCCAGTTTTCTCCACCATGATTTGCGACTGGTTGTACGACTGACTGTTCTGTAGATATTCAATTTATGGTGATTTGTTTCTTGCTTGGCGCATAAACTGCCAGTAAACGAGCTCCATTTAGACCATGTCGCACTTCCACGCAAATCAACTTTGGGGGACAGGTGCCATCATACGCGATTGCCGATCCAAGATATTCAACTGTACGCAGGTGTGCGCAAGTTCAGCTTTCTCAGTTCTGATAGTGTTCAAGATCGTCTCATCACAACCAGTGAGAGCCACCTTCCTTTTTTGCAGTTGATCGATGAGATGGGCGAGAAAACAGATAGGCATTCTACGCTTCAGGCTGTAATTGTCCGTAGTGGCGGTTTCCGACCTCCAAGGAACTACAACACGGGTTCCAACCTCGACCGAGATCGAAACCTAGTCATCTGTTTACTTGTCACTTTACGAGGCTAGAGGTCCCACTTCTGCCATTCCTTATGTTAGTGGACTCCCCTTCCCTCACCCCCCTCCCCAATATAGACAACATCAATTGAATATGACGCTCCTTAGGGTTCTTTTTAAACGCAACGAAACTGCCTNGGTTCCAACCTCGACCGAGATCGAAACCTAGTCATCTGTTTACTTGTCACTTTACGAGGCTAGAGGTCCCACTTCTGCCATTTCTTATGTTAGTGGACTCCCCTCCCCTCACCCCCCTCCCCAATATAGACAACATCAATCGAATATGACGCTCCTCAGGGTTCTTTTTAAACGCAACGAAACTGCCTAGCGAGCCTTCATGCAGTGCTAGTGCCAGACAGTTTGACGTTAGTTCTTTCAATTACTCGAGTAATCTCTACGTTTCCATTCCCTTCTACCATATATTCCATGTTGAACGGAACTTCCTATTCTGTGTTTATTCTCGCGCTTCCCTATGGATGACCCATCCGAACTGCTTTACCGATTACCTCCTTCGGAATTGGCAGAACTTAATTTTTTTTCAATGGGAACACATTTGAGCTGCTGGCAAAAATGCTAACGTATAGTTAACGATAGACTCACTGCTCGAGGTGGTTTTTCGTCGAGAACGTACCGAGCATGGTGACACGGAGGAGGACGATTTGATTTCGTTTGCTGCAAGACACCTTTTCACAATTTCGTTCAGAAGTCATTTGGCTCTCTTTGACATCTTTGAACATTCTTGTTGCAACGGAACATCTTTGCACCCAGAAGCAATTTTGCTTCCATTAAAACAGATATCGCCGACAGTGTTTATTTATGGATCTCAGCGTTGATGTCACAGTGGTCGAGCTCCCTCTATCTATGCAAACATAAGTAATTGGTCGCGCGCTGCAGTATAAGAAGAATGTGAAGAGGAGGCTGTTCAACCTATGATTCTGCAACTTGAACCAAAATCGGTGGAGATAGGGCAAAAATTCTTTTAAGAATTGTGAAAATTCGGAAAAAAGGGGACTGTGCGAGATCGTGCGAGACTAACGGGCGGCAGGGAAAAGGTATTTGAACAAGTTATCGCTTGTTGCATTCACGTGAAGAGTAAGCCAGAAAGGGCGGTAGTCGCCTTCTACCTGGACGTATTGTCAGCATAGTTCACAGTATAAAAAAACCGTTCACTTGGAAAAGATGATGAGTACCTGTAGGTCCATATATTCAAATGCGTCGTCTATAACCATCTGGCTGTATCCCAAATAAGTGTACTATTCGTCAGCATTCTAATTGTGAATTGACCGGGAACTGCCCCTTTGATTAGATAGGTCTTAATTTGGAGCTTATAAAGAACACCTGCTTCGATACTGCTTCATCGAAATTCCCTTGTTTTCGCGTAGGGTTAAGTTATGACGTTTTTCGAAACAGGGAAGTAACGAGGAGTGGGATGTTTCACCTTCATGAATAGCTATGTTAGCAAGCCAAAATAGTCATGACCTTCTTAAAGGATCCAAGCAAAGCACCGAATATCGAGTAAGCGAGTCCAATGCTGGCTGAATTCGACAACGCATGAGGGAAGGGAGGAAAAGTCGACGTAATGTATAACGTAGCTTCGTAGCTGAAGGAAGCGAGAGGCGCAGTAACCGTTCACGGACACACAGTGTAGTGGAGTGGATAAGGAGTCCAGCTGTTCGCCAGTTTATCCATTTTCATTGTACCTATCTTTACCCTGCAACTCAGATACTTAGAGACAGCGCAGAGAGCATGGGCATGCTGCCCGTAAATCATCTTCGAAAAGAGTAATGTTGAAAGCCTGTCGATACGAGCAAAATCACAATGTGAAATTTTATAATGGCCACTGGATCAGAACAGTCATCGAAAGTGACGTCTACTGAGCGCCAGGGTGCCCGCTTCCTCGAGGATCGGACCTGCTAATGATACCTCAGAAACATCAAAATAAGAGATTTTTTTGCCCGAGCCCGAGAAAAACTTGCCTGACTCAGGGATTGTGAGACGGGAGTGGCACTACATCTGTTTTAGAGCATTTTTCGAGCAAAATGAAATAACAAGTAACTGATTGAGGGGTTCGACCAGACGTGCCTGTAAAAATATCGGAGGGCGACCCAGAATTGGAGGAAACAGGAGCGAGCTCTTCACAACGGATTCGAAACTGATGGTTATAGTTACAGTACTGTACATGGATAGCTAGATGCCAATGTAATCACACTTACAGTGTCCCAATCATCTCATCTGAGCATAAAAAGTTCATTGGCTTTTATGCGTCGCAGCAGTAATGTTGAGTGAAACCGATTCATTACTTGAAGGTTACTTTACGTTTTTTTACGACTAGTTCCATGACACCTCCATGACATTCTCCGAACATACATTTATTGAACATCTTTTACAATTGATTGAAGCCACTACTGGGATTATTGCTGTTTCTCGATTTCTTTACATTCATTGAATACATGTTCAATCCTACCTTGGATCGAGGCGAATTAGATGCAGAGGATTGCTGTGCGGGGATCGCATTTATTGCTAGCTGATAGTTCGGTGCGAAAGGCAGGCCAAAGGCAGGAGCAGAAAAGCTGTAACTGATGATACTCACAAAGCGAACTTTTTTTGAAAGCTGGGCCAATCAAGGAATTTAGTATTTTTCGAATGTACACCTACTTTCAGTCTCCTTACAGATATAAGATCGCTCAGGGTAGACCTTCATAGTAGTAATGAAAACCTAACCTGAAATAGATAATACTTACCTCGTGGGATTATTTGTGGGTACCTTAGCATCGAACACTCTTCCATTGGGGGTGGTCGCTAAAACAGAAAAGAAATTAGTTGGATTAATACTACTTATGTTTTTCCATCGATTTCCTTCCTAATAAGTTGGTTTTCCAATGAAAGAATCCATGAAAAGTGTAACAACCCCATCTTGCTAGTCATTGTGTTATATATGTATGTATTTATTATATATATGTATATAATAATACGCGCATATTATGTGTTATATATATTGTGGAAATGTATGACATGGACTGGCGCGCCAGCATGGCACTTTCTCTTCTCACGCTTTAGCGCATCCACACGTGGCTCAAGCACCTAGTCGCCGGGGGTGAGAAGTATATTCTCTACTCTAATGCTCAGCGGAGTGCGGTTGAAAAGATGTGGATGCGGAAGACTTCCCTGAACGCAACGTACACGTCAAGAATGTTATGCTCTGCATCTAGTGGAGCGTTCACGGTGTCCAAAACTGAGAGCTACCAGGTGAAGGACAGTACAGTGACCGTAGGCCTCTACATTAAGCAAGCGAGGAATTTGAAGGTGAATCTCGAAACTACACATCCACGGTAGCACAAAGTTTAGTTGCAGCACGGCAACGCTCGGTCGCACATTGCAAGAACGACCAAAATCGACCTAATGAGTTCGGCTGAGCAGTTTTACCACATCCACCATAATCCTCTGACTTGGTTCCCTCGGATTACCACCTTTTTTCCCATCTTCAACTCACCTGAATAGTCAAGAATTTCAAACCCGCGACGATGTCAAAATGGCAGTCCAACAGTTTTTCAAAGGCCGGCGCCTAGCTCTCTAGAGCAAGAGTGTCCACGAGCTGCTTAAGCGTTGGCAGGAGACCATCGGTGCCAATGGGGCGAATGTCGTTCGAATATCGTAAGATAAGTACGATCATTGTCATATTGTCCGTGACTTATGACTCAACCTAATAGTTGGGTGGGGGCCACAGAGCAGAGTTGTGTAAACCTGTTTAACCATGTTATATCAGTTAACCGAAACGAAAAGGAGGATTGGCTCTTACCATATTGGCTTTTCTGCGGTTTTAACCACGGTGGATGTAGCTTTCAAACTGGGCCTCAGGAGGGTGGAAGCACCGGGGTTGGTGAGGCGATCATCTAGTGCAAAAAGTTGAAATCTCGTTTATCTCGATGTCGCGGTGCTGCTTCCTTCCTAAGGCTTAGTTAAAAAAATTGCATGTCTCTAATACGGAATAATACGTAACACCGCATTAGTTCCTTGATATACCAGCACTCTTATGTTATATATATATAAATATACATATATATACATATATAATATATATACCAGTTTTGCTACTCACGCTAATGCGTGCACCATATGCCCACTACCGCTTACTTACGACTTGTTAGAGGACAAATATGAACAGTGTCGGTTGACTTCCTATTTCATAACTGTTTCCTCACCGCGCTCATTTGACATTCACACTCTTCGTCGTGCCCACGTGACTTTTGGAAGGACCCACAAACGGGCATGCAAAAAAACACACAAAATTACTGTTTTAATAATAGAGGTAGTCGGACCGCCCGGCTAACACCGAGCTTCCCTCCTTCTTATGATAGAGTTGTGATAGACGGCGAACAGCACTCTCCTTCTTTGGAACGAATGATTCTTTTTGGAAATAGGGCATGCAAAAGATATTCAAAATAAGCCGATGCCTATGCCTCTGATTAGAATCTTTCTGTCTCGATCTGTGCCTGTTGATTTTAAAAATAATGATCCATCAAATTTAACTGGCAGTGCATTCAAAGCCTTTAATGGTACTCACAAATGT